AACAGACACCTCGCCAGACCGAAGCAAAAACGAATGGACAGACGGCTGCTGACCCTACTCTCCATCATTCCCCTCGTGGATATGCTGCATTTTTTTCGTTTCGCCACCTTGAGTGGCCTATCAGAAGAGGGCTGGAGTGGACGGTGTACAGCGTCACGCTTCACGGGCCCATGAGAACAGGTGAAGAGATCACTTGAGACGTGGACACGCCGTGGTGCTGGCAGACGTGGAGGGACAGGGCGCAGCTTGCTCATAATGTCCCGCAGTCGCAAGGCGTACTCGTTGTGTGACTGAGCGTTTGCGTTTTTACTGTCAGCGATGAACTCCACAAGAAGGCGAGGTGTTCTGCCGTATACAAGTTCAGCTGAGCAGCAGCCAATGTTCGCTCTCAGAGCCGTCCTAATTCCCAATAAACCAGAGGTAGAGCATCGACCCAACTGTAACTTGAATTTGCCGTCAAGCTAGTCTTCAGTTGGAGATGAAATCTTTGCACCATACCGCTGCTGATGGGATAGTAGGCCGTCATTCGGATGCGCCAGATTCCTAGGAACGGCGTGTTGTTCCCGAATATGGCAGACTCGAATGGCGTTCCGCTATCGGTTGTCACAGTCGATTGAACTCTCAATCCCGCTATACAGTGGCAGATTAAAGCGTGAGCAACCGTCTCAGCAGTGATATCTGGGATGGGGACGGCCTCCGGCAATCGCGTGAAGTGGTCGACCCAAGCTAGCAAGTAGTTTTACCCTTGACAAAAAGGCAATGATCCCACGATGTCTAAATGTACTCGGGAAAATTGAGTGTCCGGCTGGGGAAAAGATCCTAATGTGGTTATAGTATGGCGCCACGCTTTGGAGCGCTGACAGTATAGGCACTCTCGAGTCCAGCGTCAGTCATCCTGATTTATTTCAGGCAACACGAACCTTGCTGTGCACGCTGAGTGGCTCGGACTGCCGGGTGAGAGAGGCGTGCGGCGATTCATAAAAGTTGCGTTGAAGATCCGAAGGCACAAACGGACTGGCCCTTCCAGTGGACTTGTCACAGCATACCGGTCCTGTCGGCTAATCTACCCATTGCAACTTCAAGGCGCTGGTTGTGGACTTCAGTAGGGGCTTCAACTCTGGATTTTTGTGTTGAATCGGTGTTAGTGTGGTGAAGTCAATGCTACTTGGTAGGCTGACAGCGTTGATTGGGCTGCGCGAAAGGGCGTCTGCCGCTTCAGTGTCCTTCCCGCTGACATGGCGTATGTCCATTGTGAATTCTGCGCTGTAAGACATTTGGTGGAGCTTTCGTGCCACGTGTGCACCCGTATCCTAGTTGACCGCGCGCAATGCGCGAGTCAGCGGCTTGTGATCTGTGAGCATGAAAAATTATCTACCTTCTACATAGTGGCGGAAGTGCCAAATAGGCGCGTATATAGCCAGGAACTCACTACCAAAGGTGCTGTATCGGCGTTCTGCCAGGCTCTCTATTTTGGAGAGGAATTAGGAAACATGGTTACACCTTCCGCTTGACTTTTGTTGCAGTACGGTTCTGATAGCCGTGCCTGAGGCGTCCACCATAATGCATTGCGGTACATCAGGTTGTGGGTATGCGAGCAGGGTGGCATTCGCGACAGACTACTTAATATGCCGAAAGACCTCTACCGCTTGTTCATTCCACTGAATGTCGCTCGCCTTAGTTCCTGGAGCTGCTAGTAGGCTGTGCAGTGGTGGAAGGATGTGGGCGCACTTCGGAACGAAACTCCGGTAAAAGTTTACTAGTCCGAGAACTCTCGGAGCTGGATGATGATTTTTGGCTGTGGAAACCCCCGCACTGTTTCGACCTTGTCCGGGTGTGGTTGCACTCCCGCGCTTGAATATGCTGTGGCCCAAAATTGGTAGCGATGGTACTCCAAACACGCACTCGGTTGTGTTTATAACGATGCCATGTTCTGCCAGTCGCTGTAGCATGCAGCATAGATGGCTCTCGTGCTCTTCGGGTGTGCGGCTAGCGATCAGCATGTCATCCAGGTAAACCTTGTAGAAGTAGAGGTCCCGGATAACGCCATTCATGAAGCGTAGGAAAGTTTGGCCAGCATTCCGTAATGTGAAAGGCATCCGAAGAAATTCAAACATTCCGAATGGCGTTGTTATCGCGGTCTTGGGAACAATCCTCTGGTGCTACGGTAATATGATGGTATGCTCTCACCAGATCTCTTTTTGAGAAGATGTTCGTGCCATGCAGGCCGGAGGTCAGGTCGTGGACGAGTGGCACTGGGTAACAGTCCGGCACTGTCTCGCGGTTTAGTGCCCTATATTTCCCGCAAAGACAACAATCACCACCTGTTGATTTGGTAACCATGTGAACAGGCGACGCATACGGGCTGGATGAAGAGCGTATAATGCCGAGTTCCATCATATACGAGAAAACCTGCCGGGCTTGCCGTAGCTTCTCGGGCGAAAACCGCCATAGGTGCGCGTAGACCGGTGGTCCTGTGGCTCCTATGTGAAGCTGAACATCATGTTTTACTTCGGTAACTGCCTGTTTCTGTTGCGTCAGCTCTGGGAACTGTTGTACTATGGCAGTGAACCGCAATTCTTCTGATGGACGGAGTGAGGTCGGGCTGAGTGGAGGACGCAAACACGGCTTTCCTTGAACCGCTGCATGACATACAGGATCCCGAAGCGGTTTGTTTTGAACATCAACCATCAGACCAAAGTACTGCAAAAAGTCAGCGCCCAGTAACGCAAAGTTGACATCGGCGGCTATGAACGCCCATTTGAACGTTCTGATGAAAGCGAAGTCCAGTGTGGCTGAACGATGTCTGTATGTTCGTATCACCGTGTTATTTACGGCTTGAAGCTGTGATGTAGTAGGGTTCTTTCGGTTTGTGACGCGGGTATCACGCTCACCTTGGGGCTTGTGTCGACTAAGAACGACCCCCGTTCTTGCGGTCAGTAACAAAAAATACCGAGGGACGTCTTGAAGGCAACGTAGCAGCGCCGTTCAAACTCAGTGCTTGCTTGCCGCGGTCGTTTCCCGAGCGCGCGCAGGGTGAAACACAGGTACGCGCAGAATTTACGAACTGCCAATGATACCAGCATATATTTTTGCGCTGCGGCTGTGATACCGACGTGTTTGGCTCAATTGAATCTTGTGCTGTCCTGCTTATACACGCAAAGCTGATAATGTCTCGGTGAGTCGAGAAATATCTGCACGCATTTGCTGAAGTTCCTCCTGAGCCCGTTGTTCTTGCTCGGCGCCCTGTGATGTGGGCGTGGTGATCACCATGAGCCGATAAGCGAGCTTGACGACCACAGTTAAGTCTTTCTGCTCTGACGCCTCGACAAGCCCGCGAACACATTGACTGGCAGCTTTTGCAAAAAGAACTCTCGAAACAATGCTCCGTCTACGCTGTTTGTTGTTTCGCCGCGTACTAATTGCGTTTGCCGCAACAGCTGACTAAGAGTATGGTCGCCCAGGTTTGTGTCGTGAAACAATTGATGTAGGCACTGCAATTTGGGGGCATGACACGGTGGGTGACAGTTTCTTTTAGCGTTACGTATGCTATATTCGGCTGGTGGATCGAGTAAGAGATCCCGTATTTCACTGGCTATGGGTGGCGGGAGGCTGCTCACGACGTAGCGGTTTTGGTCAAGTCTCATGTGATGCGCTTGCACTGTGAACTGGGCTTCTACTTGAATAGACCAGAGTGCGGGGTCCGCGATCCAAAAGGGTGGCAGCTTATCATCGACTGAAGAACCTGTCGGAGAAGCGTCCGTTGAAGATGTCGAAGTAATAGTCGCGGATTAGATTTGTTAGATTTGTGGGGTTGTACGTCCCAAAACCACCATTTGATTACGAGAGACGCCGTAGTGGACGGCTTCGGAAATTTAGACCAACTGGGGTTCTTTAACGTGCACCCAAATCTGAGTACACGGTTCTACAACATTTCCGCCTTCATCGGAATTGCAGCCGCCGCCGCCGGGATTCAATCCCGCGACCAGCGGGTCAGCAGCCGAGTACCTTAGCCACTAGATCACCGTGGTGGGGCTAATAGTCGCGGAGTCTGTCGTCGACGTCAAAATCTTATAGCCACGTTGATACCCAATCCCGGTGGCTCCACCATAATTCCGGGTCACCAATGCTGGAACACACTGCGAGGCTGAGTGGGCGAGCAGGTCGTGCGAGCGAAATTGACCACACGCGTCCCAAACAACAACTAGGCTTTTTATTTCCCTTGAAGTGCACGAAGGAAAGTCACGCGATTCTTCACACTGGCGCACAGAAGCTGCGTTTAGCGGTGCGACAAAGGTTTTTTTTTTTTGTGGCTCGTGCAGATTTCGCCCATTTTTCTCTTTCACCGATTTCCAGCATGCAGTTCTAATATTATATTCATTGAAAGCAGCTCATCAACAGGATCCTTCAAGAATGGAGGCAGCTATAACCTGGCCTCAGCATACCATTCTTAAAGGTCCGCACGTCACTTTGTAAACCAGCCCATTATTCATAATCGACAACCAAACGATTTTAACCAGGATGTACATATTTTTACAGCATGTGTGCCCGTGCAGGAATATCTTTCTATTAGCGGCTTCTGAAGAATATGTATTGTTTTCGGCAGGGTCATTAACGATGAATTGAAGAAAAGCAGTTTCGTTGATCAAATTTGCAATGCGACCCACACGTACCTCAATGAAAAAATATCTTGCTAAATGAAGAAAATTAGCTCTTGTTCGCGGATCGAAGACTGAAATGAGAAATCTTCACGGCAGCCACCTAACCCTCTCGTTTTGAGAAACAATAGTTTTCTTGAACATGTTTTATCACAGCGCACATACTGTCCACAAATGGCCCAGCTTTCAGTTCTCTTACATTTTCGCAGCATTGTGCTACAACAGGTTCTGTCTATTGTTCTTTCGATATTTTCTTTTTTAGTATTGACGTCGAAACTTCGGTCACGTGCCCATTGTCCTGCAGTCGAGACATTATTAGAGATAAAGCGCTAGAGATACATGACAGGTAATGGAGGGATTACTTGGAACGCAACAATGCAATAAATATACGCCACTGTGTTCTATAAGGGACTTGAAAGTAGTGTCAACACGTTTTTAGGCCTGAAAAATGTTGATCGGTATGGAAACGCCCGTATTCGCAGCCATACTGGTCATTATTATCATTGATATTACGCCTCAGACGGCATGTTGGAACGTCAGGAAGGTAAGTTAATAATTTAGGACATTACAATGTATATTCGATTACTTCGACGCACAAAATTTCATGATCTTCAGTATTCCAGCTTCATACTTGTTTATGAATCTATGTCAGTGTTTTCTGGTGGACATTCATAAGCCAAGAATTTGGACACAATGAGAAACTCGCAGCATTCATGAAAACGTATTTTGGTGGTTCTTGGTTCTTTCCTTTGTTTATCGTTACAGGTGTCAGGAGCGAATAAAGTTTTGCACGTTTCAGAAAAAAGTAATGCTCTCAATGTTTTCTTCACATTGAATGATAACTGCACTGTGGATGTAATTGAATATTTATGAAGACTAATTATTACATATTCTACTAAATGTTAGCAAGTGTTATATATTTGATTCAACAATAATACCACGAAGAAGTGGTCTGCGTACTTGACGCGCTTCATTCTAGGACTGGGTGCTAATCGTCAACTTGAGATGCTATGGAATATTTCCACTTTCTTTATTCGTGCTGAACAGCCCAATGGTTACACAGAAATTTCTTTCAGTGTGCACGCAGATTATCCCTGCGTAATAACAATGGATAGCTTTGTCAAACAGTCTACCGAAATTTGACACCACTATTCGGCTCTTCCGCAGCGCCGTAGTTGTCCGCCGCCGCCACCGCCAGTGCCCGTATCCTCATCGCACGACATTAGAAAAAATAACCTAGTACCAATGACACACTGGGACTCGAACCCGGGTCCGCTGGGTGCCAGCCCAGTATTGGGCTACTGAGCCATGCTGGTGCTTGGGACTTGTTGGTAACCTTGCCTTAGGTAGGCTTGATATCGCCAAAGCAATCGCGCTAATATGCGATTTATAAAGCGTTTTAAAACAGCGAAGAACAAAAAGTCATCGCATTATGCGAATAGCGCCACGAGTGGGTAGTCCAATACTGCAATGCAATACAAAAGCTTCTTTTTGTTCCGCTATTAACTGTGACGCATACCTTCTTCAGGCATATTTCCTCATCGTCATCTGTACCTGCATGAACAATTGGCGAAAAATTTCTTGCAATGGTTTAGCGAATACCGCGCTTCTCAGAAGATTGACGAAAAATAGCATAGAGAATGCCGGCCTACTACCGTATATTTTTATTTATTATTGCCGTAGTTGGGATCGATCAAGTGTGCTTGCAGCAGTTAACTAATGTGTGTTTAAAAAAGACTGAAGGACCACTGTTCTAGCTTTCGCAGTGACAGCTCTGAACATACCACCCAGGCCTGGCGTTTTTTGTATTACTGGGGAAATTTACTGTTGAAAACTGCCTATTTGAGGAAGCGGTCCAGGCGTGAAGTATAATCGTAGAGTGTTGCGCGGGTTTTTTAGTCGCTTGCGGTCTTACTGATATGACACTTCCGGCTTGTCAACTTTTCTTGTAGCTTTAGTTGACCAGGTAGAGTATCCATAACAATTTTGTTTCACCACAGGCCACGAGAGCATGGTGCAGATTGTATTTGTATACCATATTTTTGAAGATCCATGTGTTATCACGAATGCCCACTTTACATGGAAACATAAACGTGTGTCTATTCCTTACAGGCATGTTGTTTCTAGCTTGGCACACTTGTACATGATTTCATCCTCCGGGCCTCCAGTTAGAAAGAAAAGAAAATGTTATTTCTTGTGAACAGTAGGACCGCATTAAAGAAAAAAAAGGTGCCCCACACAGCGCCTTCATGTGTTTCAAAAAAATTAGAGGAAGCTTCAAGTTCAATTGCAGTAGCACAAAACGTGCAATGAGCGCAAAAAACCGAGACCTTTTATATCAAGACGAAAGGAAACATTTGCGTCAGTGAGCCTTAACTCGCCCCTCTTGAACAAAGAGAGAATGTTTTCGAGTAGTTAACTTGTACTTTTCGACTCGTGGCTGATTATTTCTTGCTCTTCACTCTTAAGTGCAAGTGACGGTTTTTCTTCTTGTTTTCAGCAATATCTTTCCAGGTGTAATAAATTTACACACAGCTGTGTATTAGCGCTTGTGTCGTGTGTTTCGTCTTTCTCCGTCCTGTTTCTTGAGCTGTTTCCCTTAGTATAAGTGGTAAAATACTGGTCCGGCACACAGCGGACCCGGGTTCGAGCCCCACTGTGTCATTGGTGCTAGGTTTTTTTTTCCTAATTTTGCGCGTTTTTGTTACGGGCACCAGCGGCAGCAGCAGATAACTGCGCGTGACCTGAGTCGGGATCTCGTAACAGATTTTGCTGTAAAATGGAACAATATGTACAGACACTCACCCTTTGTCAAACGACCCCAGATGCAAATGGTTGCACTGAGACTATCTCTAACATCACTATCCGGTTCCCGCCGTACTGAGAATGCGAACCTGTCATGCGGTTCGTGCAAGTCGAAAAAGAATTCTAGCTTTGAAATATCATTTCGCAAGAGTAGAATCTTTACGGCGCAGTCAGCGCAATGCGCTCATCCGCCACAGAAGGAGCTGACATATTGTTTACCTCGTTTCGCAACAGTCGCCCGACAGACCATAAAATGAATTCAAGGCAATCCTGCTAGAAAGGGCAGCCGCGTTGGAGAGAACAAAAATACATCTGCTCTTAGCAGAGGAGCTTGGTGAACGACATGCAAGCCAGCTTTGACGGTAAATGAGGCAGTTCCTCGGCTCTTTGTGGCAACTATTTCTGCAGTGACTGCCATCCCAGGTGTTAAAATTGTGCTTGCTACACCCAGAGTCATCAATTTGATATCAATGGCGACACCAGCCGATGAATTTTTGGATGAGCCGACACCCAATACCCCAGTATATTCATCATTGCGCCCACACAATCGACACCACCCGCACCTCTCATCCCTCCTCACACTCCAAAGCCTGCACACACTGCCGCTTGCTCCTATGAGGTTTCACTGTCTCTGCGCTCGGCTGAAACAACTCATTACGGCCACACCTCCCGAGCGCCATTATCACCGTTCTTTGATGCCCAATTGTCCGAGCTAAGAGCAAAGTGACTCCCCAGGTAGACCTATGAGCGTTTACTATCGCCGTATCAGCGCAAATAGGTGCCACTGCCTTTGTCCTTGCACATTGTCGGAAAACCCAACGGCTCACAATTAGCGGCGACGAGACGTCAGCGCAAAAAAGAACGTTGCCTTTTCGCACACCTTCGACCGAACAACCCGGCAGGACTTCATGTCACCGGAGTCTAAATAAATATCCTCCGAGCAACAAAAGCAGAACGCACCTTCACTGTAGAACGCCAACTGAACAAAAAAAGTACGGCATATTCACGGGGTGAATAATGATGAATGGGCGAACCTGCGGAGGGATTCACCGGTAAACTGTGAATCTTCCGTGTAATTCGCCCACTCGATCATCATGTAAAGACGTGAGAAACGCTGTGTGTGTATACACACAAATCAACTTTTATTTGTTCTTAGACGATGGATGGCTTGCGATGTCCCTTGCCTCGCGCGCTCGCACATCGGGATTCTGTCTGCGAGCGCGCGCTGCTGCCGCCTTGCGCTCTCTCCGCTATGCAGCCTCATCCCTCCGGCGACTCCGAGCGCGCGCCAACAGCGAACGGATTTTATTACAACGCTCCCCCTAGCGTACGTCGCCGCACTAAATCGAACGATTGCCTTCAACCAATGACACGCGCCATATGTGACATCATTCCTATTTTATAAGATCTCGCGTCTTTCATCAACTACAAGTACCGCTTTCTAGTTTATAACATCTTGCATCTTTTCATCATCAGCTACAAGTACCACCATCTAGTAAACACTACAAGAACTAAACGAGAGGTGGCTACATACAGGAGACGGTACCGCCATCTAGTGAACACTGCAAGAACTAAACTAGAGGTGGCTACATACAGCGGACGGTACCGCCATCTAGTGAACACTGCAAGAACTAAACTAGAGGTGGCTACATACAGGCTACAGGGGACGCACAGCCCACGCCCTAAGGAGCTTCGCCCCTAAAAAGAGGTTTTGACTGTACTGTTCCACCTCAAACCTCAAAACGGAACTCATTCCCGTCTTCATGCAAGGGTCCTTCGGTGAGTGCTTTTAGTCGGTAGGTGATCCTAGTCGCAAGTTCTTCACTGGAAGAAAACTCGCACCACTTCTGCAAACTTTTTCAACGCCTCTCCGCAAACGGTGTACTCACCAACACGGAAAAGAGCCGATTCGGAGAAGCAGCCTTTAGATTACTTGTTCAATATTCCGACACCAACAACAACCTCCCACTTTCTCACTAAGTGCAAGCCATCAACGAGTTTGCAAAACTGACCCGCCACGGTGGTCTAGTGGATAAGGTACTTGTCTGCTGACCCGCAAGTCGTTGAATCGAGTCCTGGCGGCGTCGGCTGCATTTTCGATGAAGCGAAAATGCTGTAGGCCCGTTTGCTATAATTCTGGTGCAAGTCCTAATAACCCCAGGTTCTCAAAACATTCAAAGCCCTTCACTATGGCGTCTCTGATTATTAGATTGTGGTTTTGGGACGTTGAACCCCACATATCAATCAATCAGTTTGTAAAACCATCGTCGACCACAATGGTCCGTCAGTCTTGGTCTCGTAAGCTTTTACCGCCGCGCTAATAGAAACTGTGCCAATCTGCTGAAACCAGTATACCACGTGCTTTGCGGGAAGTTCTCGGCAAAAATAGTGCCGTATGCACTGCTGCTTATGACGCTTTTAACGCCATTTAACGTGCCTTGAGCCGAACATACTCTAACCACCCACGCAAAACAAGTTTATTCTCTGATGCTCAGGACTGGCGCTTCCCAAACAATGCTGTGCTACTACAGAAGTACAGCGTCGTAGGGCAAACACTTGCGTTTTCATCGAAACACTAGACTCCTACTCAGACACATCACAGCATGTTTGGTCCAAAACTTCTCGTCGTACACCTGGCAGCTCATCACTTTTGCCGCCTACTCGAAGGCCGAGCGTTCAGAGTTTTCATCGTTCACCAGCTGTTTATCTACGCCACACTTATTCACTGCATACATCATGGAAAAAATGAAAACTAGCCTTTATCTCGGAATTCACCACGAACATTTTTGCATCAGTGGAGCTGAGAACATTCCCGCTGATGCAATTATTCGTGTGGATGCAGCCACGCGCAGTCTTTGGAAAACATCAGTTTCGTCTTAGCAATATATATATATTGATATGATCTGGAAAGAGCGCAGGCAGGTAACTCAGAGCAATATGACTTACAGGACAAGCAGACAGCACTCGAATTGGAGACAGTATTCATTGAAGACGTGTCAATCACACCCAATTCATCTACAGCCACACAGACCGCATTTGCATATTGATTTTGTATGAAAAATTTTCAATTCCTTGCACAACCATGCACAATGCAGAATTCGTGCAGCTCAAAAGCTGATAAAATGTCATTTCGTGAGGTCGGCGCGATTCGTGACAACGGCAACCGAGTCGCTGGATTTCTCACACACTAAGTAACCTTGCACAAATATGCTCCTCGTCAACTCTTCAGGCATTAAGGTCGCCATTTGTTTTCGACAGTATCAGCAGCCTTCTTCGCTCTTCTGCAACGTCCTAAAACAAACAATGTCTCATACCTGCAGTGTCTTCAGACTTGCTGAATACTTGAACCATGCACCATGGATACGTTGTCTTTGTGCATGTTTGGAGACCACCGAGACTGAGACTGCAACTTAACATTCGTAACCTTTGTGCATCATACTTTCTGTCATGACGTTACTGGTTATTCTCCGTTTAATTGGTTATATTGCTGTGACCTGCTCTAAACCCTCGACTCACTACTTCCTTCTGAGGCTAACTCAACAGAATTATACGCTCACGACCCCACGTCTTAAAGTTACTAATTATTCACCATTTTATCGGTTACATGGATGTAACCTGCTCTGAACTGTAGACTAACTACTTTCTTCTAAGGCTAACTCAACAGCATTCTATGCTCACGACCACAATTATCGTGTGGCGACGGCCCGTCGCATTGCCCGTGATCGAGCCTGGTGTCTAAGGTTATCTGAAACCGCCATTACGACTGTCAACACAAGAACATACGTTTCAGCCTAGGTTCTACGGTGCTTGTCTGACTGTCTTTCCTTTCACGTTGGCCACCGTGAAAAACTACTGCCGCGCTGCGTTGGGCTTTACTGAGTTCTTCACCGAGTAACTGAAATCACCTAAGAGATCTCACAACTAAGTCCAAGTCTTCGTCCGCCTGAGTAGCCTCGAAAGTTTCGCAGGTTTCTCGACTAAAGTCCTTAAATCATGCTCACCAATCCGAGGCACCGATACTGTGCTTTTACGATCAGGGGCAATCTTATGTAGAGGTTTGAGTGACAGTTCACTAGAGAGAACTGTTAGCCGTAGAAAAAGTGTCTCAGGCATTGAAACGAAGGTGTCACAGTCGTCGTAGTGAATGGACGCTACCCGTCTCATATGTTGTAATTTTAGTGTATACTGCAACCCTGCGCCCATCAAAATCTACTTAAATTATTGGTTTTTATTATTTTAGTTCTTCAACCAGATGGAGCCAATATGGACGATCGAAACGACTCGCAACAAGCCTATCAAATGCGTAGTAGATAAAGTTCAGTCTGTTAAACGATTGTCAATTTCATTTAAAAGATGTAAGTTCAACAGAGGAAATAGGTAAGTTTTTGTGTTTTCACTACGTGTTTTTTGCCTAATACGTATGTTTCTTATCCGCAGATGCGAATCTGGACTATACGGAGTGCTTGATGCAGAGAGCTTAGATCAGATGGCAATATATCAAAAAGGTAAGGAAAAATGATGTGCTTAATGAGAATAATCAGGATGTAATGCGCACCAGCAGGATGCCATTCATAATATTTTCATAATACTGGAGGGCTCGGAGCCTCCAGACGAGAATTCACAATTTGACGTCACCAACTCTTATCCTCAGTACACTGTAGTTTAAATGAATAACATATATTTACAAGATACTGGCACATGGACATCTGTATTTTTCCAGTTCTTGATTCATGCAATTTACCCGTGAAGTTGCCTGAAAAAGGCGTGTGTGGTAAGCCGGAAGTACCTGATTTCTTGCCTACTTGGAAATGTTCAACAAACACGCAAACTAAACTTAGAAGTGACAGCCGTGTGTAGTCGAAATCTCACATCAGTCAACCAAGTGGTTTCTTTACCCAGCACTAGAACCTCCTTTGAAAGCCACTTCTTTCCGTGGATATATCGAAGTGTAATCACTTGGCAGACATACTTTAAAGCGCTGGGCACTCTTTTTCAGAAAATACTTTAACCACAGCGTCTGCTTACGCAGGCGTTTGGTATGCAGCGACACCATGGGCCCGAGCTAACGGTGGGGTTTTGACACCCTCCCACGCCTAGCCATTCGTGGCTTTGCCATGTCCGGAGAAAAGGGGATCCTGGGGGTTCAGTCGGCGCCGGATGATCGGACCTTTAAGGCTCCTCGGCAGAGGCAACACACCTCTTTGGCCCTACCTTAACGTAGACGGCGCCCCTGGGCTGACCCACCCAGGGGAAATCGGCAGTCGCCTTATTCTATCTCTCTCTTTTCTCATCTTCGTTTTTCTCTCACACTTTTTATTTGTCCTGTTATCTTCTTTTTTCATTTACTTCCAAATTTCCTGGCGGCGAGGGTTAACCTTGTTTAGGCATCGCACCTTGGGTAAATACAGTATATAAGCTATAGTGGCGATGCATGGCTGGTGTCTCCAAGTGTTTGTGAATTAACCTTGAAGCGTCCTCTTGTTGGGCTCGGTGGTGGTTGGCCATTATCGCTGCCGAAATTATTACTCTCCGTATGACATATGTTCCTCCCCTTCCTGATTGCTCCCTCAAGAGGTAAACTCTTAGTAGCTCGCGCTGGGTCTGCCATCGTTGAAGTCTAAATAGATAGGACGGTGTGGAACCCTGCGCCGTGCTCCCACCCTCCACACGCAGGATTGCCCAATAAAGTCTATTTCTCTCTCTCTCTCTCTCTCAAAAGGTGGCGCACCGAAGAAGCTTCCCAAAGTATGAAGTCATTTATAGTCAAACGAAAAAAAGAGAGTCCGAGCGAATTCACCATTCCTAGTGTCAAAGACTTTAACGTAACAAATTGAACCAGGGTACAAAATGACAAAGATGGGAAGTGGCGACCTCCTATCGGAGGCTCGAGACAAAGCACAAAAATACGACAAACTACTCAGGATTATATCATTTGGGGACACTCCTGCTTCAGTGGGCCAATACAGGTTTATGAACACTGTCCGTGGGGTAATTTCTGCTGATGATCTTATCGATCTGCGCAAAAGCGAAATGTGCGAAGTATGGAGAGATGAAAACGTTGTAAAGGTACAGAGAATAATGATAAGGCGTGACAAGAAACAGACCCTTACAAAACACATATTATTCACCTTTGGAACAAGCGACCTACCAGAATCAATAGAAACCGGCTATTGCAAGCTGCGTGCAAGAGTATACATCCCCAATCCTTGTAGATGTTTCAAATGTCAACGTTTCGGGCATGGATCAAAGAGTTGCACAGGGCGCGCCACTTGCGCAAAGTGTGCATTCATCCAACACATATCTGATGACTGCATCTCAGAAGCAACTCACTGTTCGAACTGCGAAGGAGATCACCCTACCTACTCACGATCATGCCCCATAAAGAAAAAAGGAAAACAAATAGAAGATTTCAAGGTCAAATTCAATCTGTCATTCCTAGAGGCACGTAAGCGTTTCGCACTTCACAACCCCTCTTCTCCTTCGTTCGCAGATGTGACGCGCCGGGGCGCTGCGCCACATCTTTCAGCACGTGCCAATATCACACATGTATAGTGTGGTCGTGGTCGTTGCCATCAGCTTCCCGGCTGGAGCAGCCTGTACTGCTCCGCCATCTGACAAACAAGGTCTGCAGACTACCGTGTCTGCTGGACGACGGACCACTGCAAACGCAGTTAGGTTCGAAAGTTCTGTCAACGTGCCTGCCGAGCAGGCACCATCCACCACCTCACAAGAGGTGATGAATACAAGTCCCACTCCTCCGGCGACTCAGAAACTGAAGGATAGGTGCAACTCTTTAGAGCGCGCCAAAAGCAGGGCCCCCCAAAGGCCCTGTAACCTAAGGCAACACTTTTTGTGCACACAGCAACATGAAACGTTAAAATGGCACAAATACTACAATAAAATGTAACAGGGATGTTAAGGAACCTCGACGATATCGAGGAACTTTCACACAAACATACAACTGTGCTGTGTGTGCAAGAAAATCACTTCAAATCGAAACACTTCGACTTTTTACGCAGTTACGTTATTTTTCCAAAGGAGCGAGATGATGCAGTCGTGTCATCCGGTAGTGTTGCCAATATAGTTACTAATGGAACAGCCTGTACACATTTACTGCTTCCAACATCTCTTGAGGCAGTGGCTATTCGAGGTGTTATATTCAACAAACTAGGAAAACTGTGTTGTATTTGCATAATTCCGTATCACCGACTCAATAAACACGAATTCCAGTCTCTAATTGATAAACTTTCAGAGCCGTATCTTCTCCTTGGAAACTTCAGTGCGCATAACTTTATGGGGAGACTCGTGGTGCGATGCACGAGGTCGTCTAATCGAGGAATTCCTTTTCTCTTTTAGCACATGTCTCTTGATTTAGAAAACGCCAACATATTACAATGTTACTAACAACACATACTCGTCAGTAGACCTTAGCATCTCATCTCCATCGCTTTTTGCGCTCCTCAAATGGGAAGTTTTCAATAATTCATATGGAAGTGATCATTTCCCTATAGTTCTCAGCAACACAATTGCAAATGATAGTCCTCCGCAGGTTCCCAAGTGGCTCGCCCCAAACGCTGATTGGGAACAGTACCAAAACGTTACTCGCTGAACCTAGAATGAGAAGAGTACGTAAAGCATAGAGGCTGCTGTGGATTACTTCACTGTTTTTTTGGTTGACGCTGCGTGCAAATGTATTCCACAACCAAGTGGACTCTCAGGAAAGCGACGTGTTCCGTGGTGGAACGAAGAGTGTCGTAATGCACGCAAAAAACAAAACAAGGCATGGAAGTTGCTCCAAATCTCGTCGAAGACTGACAGTCCTATAAACTATAAGAAAATTAAGTCCCAAGGCAGGAGGACGTGCCGACAAGCTAGAAGACAACGTTGGCATACGTTTACTTCGGGCACCACCTCATATACATAAGCAGGTAAAGTTTAGAACAGGGTGAAAAGCGTAGAAGGAAAACAAGCTTATTCACTCCCTTTAGTAAACGCACGAAGCCACAGCTTGGAAGACAAGTCAAACTGACTGGGCGCACACTGCGAGCAGGTTTCCAGATTTTCACACAACCCTCCAGAGTTCCAACACTACAAGACAAGAGTGGAAAAACGTAAACTAGGCATGAAATGTACTAAATATGAGGCATATAATCATCCATTCTGCTTGACCGAGTTACAGGCATTTTTTACTTGCTGCAGCTATTCCCCCCGGGATAAAATGCTGAAAAACCTGCCTCTATAAACAGAAAAAAAAACATTACTTTCCTTGTACAATGCCATCTGGTTTTCTGGCGTCATTCCTCCCTCCTGCAAAACCACCATCGTCCTTCTCATATTAAAACAGGGTAAGGATCCGTCCTCTGTTACGAGTTACAGGTCCATCGCATTAACCAGTTGTTTTTGTAAACTCTTTGAAAGATGATAAATCGTCGCATTATACACGTCCCTGAAACAAATAAAAAGTCTACTTGACCCGTACTAGTGGTGTTTTTGAGAAGGTAGGTTCACTATAGACCACCTTGTACGTATTGAAGCACAGACCCGAGACGCTTTTATCCACAAACACTTCTTTCTCTATGTCTTCCAAGATGTAGAAAAGGTCTATGACACAACATGGCGCTTTGTTATACTTCGAGACCTCCCAGATTTAGGTATACGGGGTAGAATGCTGAGTACAATTGAAAGTTATCTCTCAAACCGGACGTTCCGTGTTCGAGTAGGCACTTGTTCAGGGAGCAGGGGTGCCCCAGGGTGGTGTACTAAGCTGTACTCTGATTATCATCACAATGATTATATTGGGCCTCTTTATTCCTAGGACTATGTTTTACTGCACTTACTGCACTGTAGACAATGTGCAGTTCGGCTTTAAGTCATGTAACCTGGCAATGTGTGAGTGGCAGGTGCAGCTGACTTTGAACAAAATTTTAAAATGGGCAGATGAAAACAGGTTCCAGCTGATTCCACAAAAAAGTACTAGCGTGTTACTCTCTAGAAAGAGAGGTATTCATTCCGAACCTCACATGGAACTACATGGCCAGCGCCTTTCAGAAAACACTGATCACCAATTTCTTGGCCTAATCTTGGGCCCCAAGCTAATCTTTATACCACACATAAAGATCTAAAACACAAATGCTTAAAAAGGATGAACATTATAAAAGTCTTATCACGCTCTACCTGGGGTAGAGAAGAAAAGTGTTTGATAAATTTATATAGAAGCCCTATACTGACACGCCTACATTACGGGGCCATAACCTATCAGTCTGTGACACCAATGGCCTCAAAGATGCTCGAGCCTGTTCTTCACCTTGGCATTCGGCTTTCCACGGGTTCTTTTCGCACAAGCCCCGTGGAAAGCTTGTCAATTGAATCAAACTAATGGTCTCTCCATTTGACACGATCCTACCAATCATTTGTCTACTTCCACAAGGTGATTACCGACAAACAACAACCCGTACACTCCGCCATCAATGACTTGTCCAGTTCTGTCCTGTTTAACAACCGCCCTGCCATATAACAACCCTGTGCACTTCGTGTAAGGACTCCAGCCGAAGAGACGAGCTTGCGCTTCTTGAACACAGTTTGGCTGCTCTCGCTGTATATGTCTCGCCTTGGCAGTGGCAGCTGATAGACTGCGATATGTCTTTTATACAAGTCACCAAGCACGCGCCAAATGCACATAATAATGCACATTTCCTAGAACTGCAGCAAAAATACTCATGCCCAGAATTATATACTGATGCCTCAAGAACCCGCCTTTCTCTCTCCTGTGCAGCAGTCGATCCATCTTTTTTAGATGCCGGTATTCTGCACCTGAACACCAGCATTTTCACAGCAGAGACTTATGCTATACTGGTAGGTGTTAAACACATAAAACAACTAAAATTATAAAGTGCTGTATTCTAAACAGATATCTGAGCGTTGTAAAAACCCTTAAAACACTCAGAAAGCAAAGAAATCCCATTTTTATCTCCCTTTACTCAATCCTGTGCACAGTGAACGCACTGAATACACATGTCATAGACTGCGGGGTGCCAGAAACCCATGAGATACAAGGAATTGTTTTGACGGACCACTTAGCTGCAACCACCAAAGAAACAGCTACCAGTATATCAATAGTGATTCCTGCACTTGACTTGAAACCTTTTCTGAAACAAAAGCTCAGGGCCTACTGGCAGAGCACGTGGGACAGAAGCACAGACAATGAACTCCGTGCTATTAAGCCGCAACTAGGTAATTGGCCACCACTATCAAAGTTATGACACACAGAAGTAACACTAACAAAGCTTAGAACAAGGCATACACACTCTGCACATTCTTGTCTTCTGTCCTGTGGCTATCCACCCCTATGTGAGAGATGGGGAGAAACACTTACGGTTCTGCACATTCTCGTCCAGTGCAATGAGCTGGATGCTTTAAGAAAAAGCACTTTTTACTGCCCTACCGACAGCAGCTCGCACTACACTCTGGGATGCTCATTGGTAGGAATCCGCTTTTTAAACTGCAATCACTTTTTGCGTTTTTAAAAGAATGTTCATAGCTTTCACCCCAGATTTCAAGGTGATCCGTAGCGTGATCTCTGTACCGTGGTCGTGGCTGCGGTAACTATATCATCATCATGGTTTTATTATCATCACATTTCGCCATCCACTGGTTTTACTACTTCCATGTTTTCACCCACGTTAGCGCGAGGAATTTCAAGGCCCCTTTCTAGCCACGCATCTTATCATTGTTCATATATCTAGTCTATTGAAATGGCACTCTTTGGCCATCAATTGGTCGTTGCGCCATTAAAACCACCACCACCACCACCACCACCACCACCACCACCATCATAATCATCATCATCATCATCATCATCATCATCGGAGAGTACTTTCTTGTCCCATATTTTACTCTCTTTTCCAGAGTAAATCACGGCTTGTTGTGGCAGAATACAGTGATTCCCCAAGAATGGGTAAAATACTTCTCCCAGAACAAAGCTACAAAACGCTACCCGAAGCAGAGTAGCATGACCGTACTAAAGAGAGTAGCAGTACACCTCACAAAAAAATAAGAGAACTTGGGCTGAAATTGGGCTTTACAATGGCCTTTCATAAATATTTTTCACGTGGATAGAAAAAATAAAATAAAAAAAACTAAAACAGCGAGTCAGACTTATACCTTCGACCTTTATATGCCCTGAACAATGCAAATACGACACAGTAATTGCTACACTACACTAAAACACGGCAAGCGTACTAGGTTTTGCAAGTTATCAGTAATGCTAGTCATTTCTAATTTCTTTTTACAAGTGCAGATTTTAGTGTCTCCGCATTTCTCAAAACCAGCTGAGCTGTAGCTAACGTGTTTCATGTGTTTGTTTTGTGCTTCGCGAGATCAGGCCATCTACCTAACACGTTTTTTACACTAGAAAAAAAGATCACTACAACCGCTTATTGGTACAGCATTTGCACTGACTGCCTCGTCGTCAGTCATTTCAGTATATGAAACAACATGCTTTCGAAGTGTACACTAAATATAGTTGCCTTTTTTTTCCTCTTTGGAAGTATTTTAGGTCATTCTTGTTCACGTTGTTGTTCACGTTCTACGACTAAAGCCATAATTCTTCCCTGTACCGTACCGTACGTTAGGCTTACGGCAGCATCCTCCATGCGCGATGGTCGTAGCAAAAAACACGAGTATTATTATAAGGAGAATGTCTTAGGTGTTTACATTGAGTTGCGATTGTGATCGGTTGAATAAAGTGATAGCTGTTTATTTCACCACACAGATACGAAGCTAAAAATGCGGATATTAGCAGTTCCCAGCACCCTCCAGTGCACAGACATCTACTGGAGTCGGCTGAAAACGCCGCTCTTTTCGTTATAGTTTCTAATGACTCCAACCGATGCAATACGTTCTACTGCCTATATATCTGTTTCATAAGGTAGTGCTAATCAATCGTGGCGTGCCGGCACATCTAAATGTCATCATGAACAGGTGTATAACCGCGTTTCACTCAATAGTGCCTCAAGAATACCTAAGCATTCTATTCTCTTAAATAGAGCTACGTTAGAAAGCAGTTTCGCTCTCTCAATTCAAACAGAGTGATAATGAGTTTCACTCTATTTGAGGCTTTGCGTGAATTAAGAGTAACTTGTTCCTATTACTACTCCGATATCCTCCGCAGTTTTTTTCGGTGTCCTCGAAACCCGTGAGCAAAACGCAGTAGAGAGCGTTATAGTAAAGGTCGTTATAAAAAAAAAGTAGCTTAAATCGCCCTCTACAGTTAACATGATCTGAGCCCTGGTCCCGGTATAACCCTGCATATTTATGTGTAAAAACCTTTAAAATGGTCGGTTTTCATGTCGGATAATCTGAACTGCAGAGCCTCTGAGTTTGGTCACTCCACGCAGAAGACTGCCACAAGGATCACAACATGTTCTCGAACAAACCAACGTAAATTTATTACACATGCAGAAGAATAAAAAGCGTCACCTCTCAGAAGATATTTTTTTATGCTGTGCAGGAGCTCTTGGTCAAGCTAAAATATATCCACAAGTGGTCGTAAGAAACAAGTGCAATTTTTTATATTGTTTCCGACATAACGCCTATGGTACAGAGAACACGCAAAATAAGTGGTAAAAAGTTCAATAATTGATTGCGTTAACTCTACCACGCTAATGAACGTGTGGTGGTGCATATATAGCATCAAATATATTCAATATTTACGGTATTGCTCATATGAGTGCATGCCAGTCTTTATAATTAAACGTATCATTGCGTGACGAACCAAATTTATTCGCTGTTAAAAGCTTGACGAAGCTAATCGATAAAAACACCTACCACAACGTTTATTAGCGTCTTGTTCAGCAATACATTGCAGAGGTGGTTTCTTGGCGCAATGTTTGTACATATTAGCGCCCGTCCACAAATTTGAAACCCGCCTAATTGTAACATCTTCAAAATTCTCCTAGATAATAAATAATTAAATTTTTAACCTATACAACCACACCCGCTAAATATCATACTTTTGCATTTAAGTTATAGTACTACTGGTCCCCAACAAATTGATCTTCAGGAAAGCTTCAGCGAGAACACTGTCGTGGTGGCTGAGGGAGACACATAACAACAATACAATCATAACTAAAATATCCCCACCCAAGCACTCTCTACAAATGCTTAACGACGATAGCTGAAGTGTTAAGGCCCGGTGTTTAGCAGCGTGCTCAAACCGACGCTGAACTGAAGCCTTTCAGAATTATTATTTACACGTGCTTGCTTCCAAATGAACTTAGACTTACGTATGGCTTGGGTTTACCACAACATTTATTTCACATGCCTCAGATTCAGCCTCGCACGGTCACGGTTATGGAAGAGTGTAATGAACGGTTAAACGTGTTTCGCACTGTGCTAAAACAAATATTGTTTTTCGAATGACAAGTGGTCACCAACATTGCCGCCAAGCAGAGGTACCGCTGGGAAGAGTAAGAGAGATCAAAGTTTCTATTTTGCCACTAGAGAAACTCTCGCACAAAGCGAGCGTTTGCTCTTGCGATCGAACTCCGACAATCATCACATTGATGCCGCAACACCGCGTTGTTGCAAGCGTTGATATTACAAGCTAACTCACAACGCAGTCAATGGCACTCGTGCTTCGGTACGACTCTGCGAATGACGTAACGGATACCAATGGAGACCATTTATGTCATCGCTCCCGCACGTTTTAGGGGCGAAGCTCCTAAGAGCGGCACCCGTTCGTCCCTCTTCGTAGTACGTACCATGTCTTGCGCTTTGACCTGCAAGGCGGTGCGGTGAGAGATTTCTCTTGTGCGTTGTTGAACAACAAATAAATTCACAGTGCGCGTTAACTAAAAGCCGACATCTCCTGTCTCTCATTCCCATTAGCAGTCATTGGCATGTACATTGAGCACTATCTGACAATAGAGGGTTGCTGCGTTATACTCGCCGGGCGTAATTTCCTTGGTTTTAGAAATGCTTAGCGAGAGTTGGGCCGCAGTGCCATAAATACAGTGAACTAGTATATACCACGAACACGAGGTGGTTAATGGTGGAAAGTAGACACGAAGCGCAAGCTGTAAGAAAGTGTGCGTGTGCCACCTCTTGTTTGGTCCTTGGAAAGTCCGCTGAATGGCGGTGCTTCTTTATTCGGAATATGTGATGAAAAGATGCGAGATAGTGGCACTTAGGGCGTTGACTAGATGGACGAATAGACACACCGACAAATGCATGGACGGACGCCTGAATGGCTGCACAGATGGATAGACGCATGGATGGACGCAGAGGCAGATGCATGGACGAACGCACGGACAGACGCATGGATGGACGTTCAGAGGCACGAAAAGACGCACGCACAAACGGGTGGATGGACGCACGGACGTTCACACAGATGGACGCATGGACGGACGGAAGTAAGAACGAATGGACGGGCGGATGCTTCGCCCCACTCTCCATCATTCACCCGTGGATATGCTGACATTTTTGTTTTTGTTTTTTCTACGCATATAATGCTTTCGCTGTAAAATTTGCCGGCAGAACATTTATACTTTACCACGTATAGTGTCTTTAAGCATTCTAGACAATAAACTTGTTGAGATAAAAATATTGTTATAATCGTAATTTGAATTGTGCACCTGTGTGTAGCAGTAGGTCAGGGGTTGAGAGAGACGAGAAAAACATGCCTTCAGTTCAGCCAATTCTTCTTGGATCCCCCAGAGTTGGTCTGGTGGGTTTATTATCCTAAAACCACCATGAGAGACACCATAGTAGAGGGCTCCGAAAATTTCACCCAACGGCGGTTCTTGAACGTACACCCAAGTTTGAGCACACAGCACTACAGCATTTTCGTCTCCATCGAAAATGGAGCCACCGCAGCCGTGATTCATTGCCCAGACCTGTGGGTCAGCAGCCGAGTACCTCAGCTACTAGACCATCGTGGTGGGGCTGCCAGAATTAACAGACAACAAACAAACAAACGAACGATGGATACAACCTTGGTTCCTACACAATACCGCTGAGATTCCCGCTATGTCGCATCTCAATACACCCCTTCGTGGACGTGACAGAGTCTGGTGCACATGCGGGATACACAACGTCGACGTGCCACGCAGGTACAACCATTCGAACATCACCGGAGTCGCCGCCTAGGTGGACTTTCAACCCCAGACCCAGTGCACGCACCTTCACATACTCAAAATACCATTGTAATATTATTGACAAAATAGAGCAAAAAATTAATATATGAAAAAGGCGGAGAAACTACTAATGCGAACGGAAAACACACCGCCGGTAAATATAAGAGCTTCGTCATGCACCACCATATACGTGCATGATAAAGTACGGTATTTGTTGCGAGCTTCACCACGTTCGACGTAGTGTGCTAAAAGGGGTTTCAAATAAATAGGTAAAGAACTTTCACGGTTTTTCACAAACTAAGGATTTACTGTTAGGCGGCACATGGTAGGTAGCGAGATATATTTGCATGTGCCATAAATTGGCTAGTACCAAGCGTTACGTAGGGGCGAAACGTGTTTCGTACTAACAAATAACCTTGTTTACCCCACCATGCTTTAATTATGTACTCTTACGAAACGTGCGAGCTCAGCTACGAATGCAGGGGATTGCTTTAATAAAGAAAAAAAGGGCCCTCTGGTGCACTATACTCACTTTAATTGTACATTTGTGAAATCTGACCGAGTCAACCAGTGCCATATTACCCCCGGGCATGAATCATAAATACAACTGTGCGGTGTGTACTACAAAGACATTGGAGTGGTTATAATTATTACGCGATTACCGCGTCCCGTAGTCGACAACAGCTGACAGCCAAATAACTATAATAAAGGACTAAGCCACACTGAAAATTGGGGAACTCTAGGTACCCTTTTACGTAAATTAATTACCTAGCTACATAATCCTGCCAATCGAGTGACTCGGCATACGGAAACTTGGCATGCACCACGTCCTCGGAATAATTATGAATTCGAAACACTGAAATACCCTCTACCAAGTCTGATGTATA